AGTTTTGCAGGTATCGGCATTACATGAGTGTTTTAGGATCGCCAAACGTTCTGAGTCATTCTCCGTCCCTATCGATACTTTGACTTTTGATTTCGAAACTTGCGTTTCTCCAAACTCAGTCAAAGTGGGGGCTTCTGTAGACACCCATTTGTGTCTCCCCAAAACCAAACCCAGTGATGAGTACCTTTCACGTCGAATCATAATCGAATGAAGTGAAAGTGTGGAAAGTTTAGTGTTGCGGAAAGTTTTAATTTCATTTCTCTTCTCTCTGTTTTTGAAAACTTATTTTAAAAAAACAGCCAATCCATTTTGGTTGGTCCATGATATGGGTCCAATAGTAGTGTAGTTGGATGGGGGTTGACAAGAGCTTTCCAACGATATATTATAAGCCCAATTCCGATGAATATTGAGGAAGTTATGGCGAATTTACCAAACTGGGTCCGGTTTAAGTCTTATATGCGGCCCAATGATCTAGGGGAGGGCCTAATATGATTTATCATTCCTAATGCAATTAGGAATGGTTTTAGTCTTCTAGATTCTTCTAGAAGGTTCTTTTCATTCCTAATTCAATTAGCATTGATAAATTGACTTTTGTTGACTTTTCAGAGTTTTAATTGAAATCAAAAAGTATTTTCGAGGAAAAGATATGATATTATCCTCCAGTACGGCAAATTTATCTGATTTTCAAAAACGGGTCAAAAACAGGAGTAGCGCCTGACGCCAGGCATTGGCGCCTGACACTAGGACCAAGCGCCTGGCGCTGGCATTGGCGCCTGGCGCTAGTGTTGGCGCCTGGCGCCAATGAGCTGGTGCTGGCGCCAGCTCTGTTTTGCGTGCGCCAGACTCTGTTTTGTTAATATTATCTTTTTGGATAATTTTCTCTATAAATAACGTATTAAAATCTCCGTTTTCATTCATCAACAGCCAATTTTAATCTTCATTCACCTACAACCAGATTTCAATTCTCTCTTTCTCTCTTTTTCCAAACTTGCTTTTACATACAAAATTCCGCATTCACAAGATCTAGAAACACCTACCCATATTCGAATTTGCCTTCGCCCTAGACGTGAAAGGTTTAATTTCTGAGGGTTTGGTCCCAAATCTCTCTTTAAATTATTTAATTTAATTGTTTGATTATTATTTACCTTGAACTTACTAACGTGTGTATTTTGTTATTAGAAAGAGATACGAGGCATCAAAGTAAGTAATTTAATGGTTTTAATTGATGTTATGATGTAGAAATCATGTTTAAATTGTTATTATGATATTCCTAGTATCATGTATAGGGTAATTTTAATATTAAATATGATTGTTACGATGCCTCTTATGTTCTTCCTAATATTTATGATTGCTAGTATCATGTTAGGGTTAAAGATTTGATTTTTTATTGCTTAGTGACATGCTAGGGTTTGTTTTTAATCTTGTTAGTATCATGCCTAGGATCTTGCTATTATTATGCTTTAATATTAACATGAACATGATAATGATTATAATGATTATACTTTATGATGATTATGAATGTTATTATTATTATGATTATTATTGCTATAATTATTATTATTATTATGATTAATATGATTGTTGTTATGATTATTATAATTTATGATCATGATTATTTTAATTATAATTATGATTATTATTATGTTGCTTGATATTTATTGTTATTGCTTGATCACGCTTTGTATGCATGTTTAAAGGGAATTGGTATTTGTAATCACGCGTAATAAGATAATTAATAATCTTGTTTAGGGTTAATTTGATTATAATTCAAGTGATCGCCAATAATAGTTTATTTGTGCATTAATATTCAACCAACATAGATAAACAGGTTTAGGGTTAATCCTATTGATTGTATGTTAATCAAAAAGCGCACATGAATACGATCTGAATAAAGTAGAGACCTATTATTAGGGCAGGTTCAATCTCTTTTAGGTTGGATTTGTACCTTCATCCCCGAACCCTTATTTCGTTCTAGACCTTATGGAGTTGACGATCTCTTGGATTGTTAAGGGGTGTAACCTTCACCCTGTGAACGGTTTACAAGTTCCTAAAACTTGTTGGCGACTCTTTTGCTCTATCTTCTTCCCTTTTGGACGCCACCGTACTTTAGTGTATGATCACAGTGGGGTTCAAGCTAGGGGATTTACGCTTGAAATTATTCCCTACAATACTCAAACCGACCAACAATGGCGGTGAAAGGTTGTTCATCATCGGGAAAACAAGGAAAACTAAGAAAATTATATGAAAATAAAGAAAGAAAATATAGAAAAAGGACCTAAATCTTATTCTTTTTTAGCGCCATTGATGGGTTGTTAGAACGGTCGCACATTCCACACTCAATCAAATAAATTTATAAATCCTAAAACTAACCCCTAAACAAGTCTAGTGGTAAGTTCGGAGTCGAACCACAAGGAACGGTAATATTGGATTGTTCTCGATCTAATGCTTAAGCTACGCCGAAGTCGGTTTATGGATAGTGGACACTACAACTACACTAACACACATATAAAGATCAAGATATTACAAAGTTTACTAGGGGCAAAGATCCACTTTGAACAATTAACAAGTTTATGGGAATCGATTTGAAAATCAATCATGCAAAGAAAGAATTAAAATGGGAATTAATTACCATAAAGAGCAATCTCTCAAATTTTTAGCCTAGATCCCTCATTGACTAGGTGCATAGAAGAAATTTACCCAAAATGCAATCAAATATATAAATTCTAATTCACAATCCCTTGTCAAACTAGAACTAACATGCAATTAAGTTTGCTATCTTGGGAGATCAATCCAATCTAAAACAAACAACATGCCATCATCAATTCAATCAATTTAATCACACAATTATCATCAAATTTATCTCAAATAACTCAATTAACCATAACAAAGCTTCACTCAACACCTAGTAGAAGGAAATCTACTCAAACATGATTAACAAAGCAATTAATAAAGCATAAAGAGAGAAGAGAGTAAGAAATGCTCATTGATATAAAATGGAGATCTTCAAATCATCAAATTCCTCCTTTGATTATCCAAAATCCATGAAAACCATTGTGCTCCTCACTTTCTCTCTCCAAAATTTGAGAGTTTCTCTCTCTAAAAACCTAAAACTAACCTAAAAACTATTCTAAACTGAAAAAAATCTCCTTTTTTTAATGAGCAAAAAAAATCTATTTATACCCCTTACAAAATTGCTTAGGAAGCTCCGCAAAAAGTCAGCTGAAACGGGAAAAGGTCCGACCGAACTCTGTGTAGGTTCGGTCGGACTCAGGGTAGGTTCGGCCGAACTCAGGGTAGGTTCGGTCGAACCTCCCTGATCCTTGTTTGGTCGAACTTTCCTGGTTCGACCCCTCCTGTAAACATGCTGAAAACTTGGTTGAAACTGCCTTGGAGGTTCGGTCGAACTTTTCAAAAGTTTGACCACACCTTGGTTCGACCGAACCTCTTAGAGGTTCGGCCACACCTCCTCTTGAACTTCCTCTTCTTGCTTCCTCTTCTTCCCTTTTGCTCCTCTTGTCTTTGTACATGCCTCCATACTTGGCCAAGGGGCCTCCTACCGTGCTTAGGACCGTCATGGAACCTGCAAAAGATAGCAAAGATCACGAGAGCATGGGGATGATAAAATTATGCATAAAGATTATCAAAACAAGCGCAAATAAGCATACTTTTCATCCATAAAAGAAAAGGAAGCCATAAGAGGAGAAAAGAGGTAGAAAACCTAAGAAAAACAGGAGAAAAGAGACCAATACACTACCCCTAAGGGTAACATAAATGTCACTCATCAGCCATAAATGACGCTCATCAATGAGGGATCATAGCTTGATGTCCACTATGTGTTAATTCAATTCGCGAGACATTGACACTTATGCAATTGTTTTGTTTTGCCAGAATTCATTTTTCCTTCCTTTCTTTTTCATATCTTCGAACTTGAGGGATTGTTGGAAGTTCTTGATAAAAAAACAAGAGATTTGGGGGGAAAAACAAGAGAGAGAGAGAGAGAGAGAGAGAGAGAGAGAGAGAGAGAGAGAGAGAGAAACAAGTGATGAAAGGGGAAAAGTCCCACATTGGTTAGGGAGAAAGGTTTTGCCTTGTTTTTATATTGTAGTGCCTTAGCACTACTTAGTTGAGTGAGTGGGAGGTATGTGTTACTCCACACACACACGCGCGCGCACCGAGCAGAGCCGGGTCGGGCTGGGGTCTTGGGGAATGCGATGCGTGGGCGTGGGTCCTTCTTATCTTTTTGGAGAAATTTTATTTCCTTTCTTTGTTAAACATAATATTCTTTTTTGACTGTTGGGATTATTCTTTTTTTACTGTTGGGATTACGGAATTAAATCAGCCATTAATCCCTTGATTACAGCTGACTGATTCAATTCCTAAATTACTAGTTGACTGGCTAAATTAATCTGGTCACTTTCTTAGCCAGATTTTTCCCACGTTTTATGCTATCCATTTTCCCCCATCTGCCTATATATACTCAGTGGTTTTCCCAACCAAATTACACAACAATTCGTACCTTTCTCTCTTCTCTAAAATACTAAACACTGTTCTTGTTTTCTAGGCAACTATTATGAATTCCAATCGAGTTTGTGAGTGCACAAAAACTCCGGCGCCATGCTTATCTTGGAGGGCGACCGCTTCTAGTCTACTGCACCGGGAGATAGCGCGGAATCGTTTTTTAGGTCAGTGGTTCTCCACAACGCGGCTATTGTCAGTTTGGTTCACGCATCAAGATATAAGTAATTTCTATTTTATTGCTTAGTAGTATAACAGTTTCTTGTCCTCCGTGACACTACTGATCTAGTTGTAAGATGGAATACGTACGAGTTTGTATGAACTCCTTTTCCTAGAGTCTTATAACTTCAACGGAATCCGATTTATAATAACTTGACAACTTGGCATGTCTCAAGTTTATTTTAAACCATAGCCCTATAATATAATTCGGTTTTCTCAACAAGTAAATTTCAATATACCAATTTTTAAAAAAAATTTAGATTGCTTTGTAAACGATATGAAGAATACACGCATTACACATTGTATCTGAGCCTCATCAGCGAACATCATATTTTGTATTAACAGAGAAATGAAGAATTTTGGTTAGACAAAAGAATATAAAATATACATGAATTCCACTATCTATTCAATATATTTGCGATTTCTCAATATTGTTCTTGGTATCTTAAACAAATGCCTAATGCAGTTCCCCTCACCTTATGAACAACGATGTCATATGAGGTCCGTGACGCATCGAGACCACCATAGCACAAATGAGAAAACCCCCAACACAAAATGATCGCCAATAATCAGAAGAAATCAATCTGGACGTAATTACCCGAGGGCGGACCATCAAGACCAGGCACCTTAGCTCCTGTGGTAGACGTAGCAGGAGGAATGGCAGTTGGCATAGGTGACAGTGTGTAAGGCCGGGGAACATCGGGTGGGGTAGCACAGCGGATGAGTGCCCAATTAATGCTCTGAAAGAATGGATGTTGCTTGATTTCTGTGGCACCACGCCTATAGGCAAGGCGGTGCTGCGGCTCCTTTACCAGCAAACCCCTGATCAAGTCTCTCGCAGCAAAGCTCACAGAAGGGGAGTCTGGGAATTTTAGGGGCTGGCCTACTACATTAAACAATGTAGCACGATTTCCCTGCCCTTTGAAGGGTGTTTTCCCAAACAGCAACTCATAAAGAAAGATTCCAAAGGTCCACCAATCTACAGCACTGCCATGACCTTCACCTTTAATGATTTCAGGAGCCAAGTACTCATGGGTTCCCACAAATGACATTGATCGAGCATTTGTTGGTTCGGCAAGGAGTTCAGGCAGAGGGCAGCCTTGAGAATATAGATCAGTCTTAGGTTTGGGTTTCTTTGCTTTTTTATGCTTGTTGAATAAGAAACGAGGCGAGAAACATGCAGGCTGAATTATACAAGATGGTTCTATACAAGCAGGTTGAGCACAATATGCTGAGCTTTTGGACTCAAGGGTTGAGTTTGCTGATTTAACAAGAGTTGGGCAGACAGCACATCTTAAAGAAAGGTCAAAATCAGAAAGCATTATATGTCCATCTTCTCTAACCAGGACATTCTCAGGCTTTAGATCCCGGTAGATTATACCAAGCATATGTAGATATTCCAAGGCAAGGAGAATCTCTGCAACATAAAATCTGTTGAAAAAAAAAAAGGTAAGAAAAACAGCAGAAAACTTTGACAAAAGATGGACACCATTCTCCATGTTAAATATGTAGCAAATCCAGAAGGTGGGGGGGGTATGGGGAGAAGAATATCAATCTAGCAAGCATCACTACATACCCATTCCATAGGTTTGGGGGTGTAAAAAACATATTTAAGGTATGCATATGCCACGTAAAATTTAAAACTTTACAATAAAATTTGCTCCCATTTGATCCAAAAGTGGGCCCTTTAAACAGCTTGAGCTGTGGTTTGCAACTGTAATAGATAAGCTATATGATCATGGTTGACAAAATGATATTTCTACAACACAGCTTCCAGTTCTGAGACAAAAAGAGTGGTTTGCACTGATAGCCTAAGATGCTCATGTTCATGGATGACAAATTGGTAAAGGATATTTAGTTCAGAGACAAATGCAAGGAAAAGAGAAGATATTGTTAAACAGCAGCCAGCCAGATGGTCTGGCAGCTTTTACAACATATGATACAATTACAGAATTACTTCTTTTTCTCATCATGCATCTCTACGGTAACTATGACTGGTTTTACAGAAAAACTAACCATCCACACAGATATCAACTAGAATAAATCTTAAAGAAGCAACTCATGAAAATTAAAAGGCCCTACATGAGCAGAACTCAGCTATACAAGGTAACACCAATCTAAACAAACACAATATTAAACAAGGACAAATCCTACGGTCAGTTACTATATGCTATGTTTAAAGCCAAACTGCGAGTATATCATGGTAGAAGAAACACTTTCACAGTCTTGAAGATTGTTGTAGTAATTTTGGCAACAAAGATAGCTTGTTGCCAAAAAAAAGGCTGAATTTCCACAAAACCTCTCTTCTTATTCAAAATTCTCAACCTAATTATAAAATAATTTTTCCAACAAAAACATTTTTGGTTCTTGGATTAACATGACATTCAATGATTTACATATATCTATAAATCACCTTTTTCTAAATAAACAAATTATTTTATAGAGAAAAAAGAAATCTAAATAAACAAATTGTTTTATCAAGAAAAAGAGAAAAAAATCGATTCAGTATGTCTGTAAATTATTGAACATGAACACCTGCTTATCATCTCTTCTCATAATCCATAATCCATGCCTGACCAGAATAGTAGGTGATCAATTTCAAAGATGCATACCCCTATAGCACCACCACCACCAATAAATTATTATTATTTTCCTACACAGGCAGTTTCTAAATCATATCCACTTCCGCATCAGAAGAAATTACTAAGAAGCATGTTCATAAGCTATAAGGTTGGTATGAGAATGATTTGCAGGCTTGCAGCAGAAACTAGCTCACATCAAATGTTTAAGGGATGACAATACTCTGAATACTACTTTTATAATCTACAAGCTCTCAATGCTTTGATGAAAGATTAAGGGATATTGTAACAGAACAATCATGAATTAATTAGATTGATCCAACAAAATTTTCAAGAAGGTATTGCATAAAGGGAATACTGATTCTAGAAAAAGCTTAAATGTAGTTGTTAAGGCCACAGGATATCCCACCTTGCAGCATGCTCAGGAAAGCATTTATGAGGTTGTCTCTGCCGAAGTGAGTGCAGATCACCTCCAGGGCAGAACTCCATCACCAAACAAGAATGATTCTCTGTTTCAAAATGTGAATACAACGTGGGCAGGAATGGATGATCCAGGGACTGAAGGATCTCTCTCTCCGTTTGAGCCCGCAGAAGTTTCTTTCGACTCTCTAAAGCTGCTTTGTTCATGACCTTCATTGCGAAATGAGTTCTGGTCCCAACCAATTCAGATAGATACACCTTCCCTATGTCTCCACATCCTAATTGCTTCAGAAGTCTGAAGTGGCTCAACTGCAGTTGCCCATAATGAGATTGAGCTTTGCGGATGGCAACCCATCTGACGTCATTAACTTTGTGAGGCTTGTACATGGTGCTACTCATGCTACTAGAGCTGCTTTCATCACTAACATCACTGCCAGTGCTGCATCTGTAAGCACTACTCACTTTCCTGCTCTCAACAAAGTCAAAGGATTGACTATTCTCAGCACTTTCACTTGATTTCTCGATACTACTATGGCATTCACTTGCTTCTGTGATGGTATCTTTGGCTTCTATAGATTGGTTAGCAGAATGAAAACTGTTCGGAGGGCTAGGGCAATAACTAATTGCTGATGGAGGAGCTAACGGGCTACTTAGCTGTCCATCATCTACCCCTTGGTCTAACCTAAAAGCTGACGAACACAACGAGCCGTTTGAGTCACAAGCCTCAGAATCTTTAACAGGATGCTTAATGCAACATTTGGACTCAAACCCAGAAACCTGATTGCCACTGGAACTTTCCCCTACGTCACCAAAAACGAGGTTATCAAAAACTATTCTAATGGCAAACAAAGTTTATACTACAGGGTATTAGTTGCAGCAGCTAAATTTTCTAAGCTGAGTAGCAGGAGAATCACCTGAAGGAGAAAGAGAACTTTTGCCAACCATACCAGCAGAATTCTGCGGTTTCGTCACGAAATTAAGGGCATCACCAGCAGATTCCATTGATGTGGTTGATGCTAACGCCCTGTAACAATAAAACCCAGTTCACCAAATTGATTCTTGTCTTAAGTTAATCATTGACAAAAATACATATTTAATCCAGAAACAATCTCAATACCTAAATTATTGGTACAAAATAATAAATTAAAGAAAGTAATGTGAAATCCATATAACAACATAACCAATCTAAGTCCAACTTACTTTATATTATACTGATATTTCTACAATTATCCGCGACATACATCAATAAGACCCAATTAACAAAACTTATCCACAAATTCAATGTAACCATTAATTGAAGCATCAAAAGGCAGAACATTACAATCCAAGAAAACCCAAAAGATTACGTCGCAGGCAATGCATGAAAATCTCATTACTCAATCAATCTTCCCCCAAGAAAATCATCTGTTAAACAATCAATCAATTTTTCTCATAAAATCAAAACAAATAAATAAACAAAACCCATAAAACAACCTATCAAAAACTACTAAAACAAAAACAAAACAAAACAAAAAAATCAAACCATTACATAAATAACCAAAAAAAAAAACAAAAACAAAAAAAAATCAAACCCATAACATAATCAATCAAAAGTTACCCATTATCTAAATAATAAAATCAAAAATCCCAAAAAAAATCATACCCGTTACACAAACAATCAAAATCTCACTAAAAAAATACCCATTACAGAGTTATTCAAAATAATCATACCCATTACACAAACAATCAAGAGTTCACTAAAAAAACATACCCATTACACAAACAATCAAGAGTTCACTAAAAAAACATACCCATTACAGAATTAATCAAAATAAACCCCAATCATCAAAACCCAGAAAATGATGAACAAAGAAAAGTGAAAAAAAAAATAATAATAACCCCAAAAAAGTAGAGAGAAAATACCTGGAAAGAAGAGTGAAGTGGAAATGCTAAGAAAGAGAGTGATCATGTGAGTGAGTGAGTGAGTGAGTGAGTGAAAATGAGAGGTGATGAACTTCGAAAAGTGTAAAAGCTTTTATTTCCCAATAATATTTTCTCTTTATTTTTTTTTAAAAAAAATTTATAATAATTCTCAGATCCGATCGTGAACAGTTGATAGAGAAAAGAAAGGTGTCGGAAAAATATACTCAGAACATGGGTTGTTAAATCTCGTCGTTTTTCTAAATTTTTAGAGGTTTATCAATTTTTGGAAAGCTACTTTTTTTTGGTGGATTTTTGCAAGAAATTAAAAAAACAAATTTTGTTTTGTATTAAATTTGTATTTTAATTTGGGGAAAATTGGAGTTTGTTGAGATTAGTGATGGAGCATGGGAGAAAGGTGCGGGGATCTTGAAATTTGATACTTGTAAATTGTAAATTTTGGCGTTGAAGGAAGAGTTTAAACATGAATTCAGACCCCATATTTAATATTTATGTATTACTCCCTCCATCCCATTTTTATAGTCTTTTATGCGAAATTGATTTTGGCACACCCTTTGTTGATTTTGGCACACCCCTATATGAGAAGAGCATAGAAAACTGTGCTCTCACATAGGGGTGTGCCAAAATCAATTGGGGGTGTGCCAAAATAATTTCCCCTCTTATGGGCATTTTTCACGGGAATTAATAAACACAAAAAAAAAATAGTTAAAATACACAGAAAAAGTAAATTGACATTGGGTATGGAAAAAAATAGAGAGAGAAAGTAATAAAAGCACATGGGAAAACAAAATTTACATGAGAAAGTTAAATTTGCACAAATATTGTTGCAAATTGAAAGGAATTTTAGTAAAAAGTTAATAGTAATAGTGTTTTGGCCAAAATATGCTCGCTAGATTCGACCAGGTTCTATAGGTCAACAACTAGATTAATAAGGATATGAATGATAGCGTAGGTTCAAAGAATGGGGGTGAATAACCTACGAAAGATGAACAAAGGGGAAAGGGAAGAAGAGACACAAGATGATGACGCAGAAAACCCCAAGAATAGGGGTAAAAACTGCGGGTGGCGTTGAGTCCACCAATCTACTAGTTTGAGAATGAATTACAGGTACAATACAGGTTGTTTTGTGACTAGAAATGAATCTGTAATTTAATACTAATTGCTAATGACTATGAAATATGTTGCCCAGGGCTCGTATCTTCTGTTTTTACCATGGTCTTCCATCCTATTTATAATAGGGGAGTCTTTTGAAGTCTTGTAACAGCTTCTTTGATGATTCCATGAAATTTCATGCCATGTTCAGCTCCGAGATTCATGCCATGTTCTCTTTGTGCTTATCCATTGCCTTTTGACTTGTTCTTTGTTGTTGGTTAGCTGGAGAATAGTGGGAGTGTCGTCCATGAAAATAGGAGAAGTAGTTTGACTCCTTGATTTGGTCTTCAACGAATGTGGACTGATTTGTGGTGCAGATACATTTAACATTTCCAATTGACTGATTCTTGGTAGGAAATATCTCCTCCTTGATTGTAGGAAAGCTTATAACAACTGTGACTTCGTTCAAACTTGGATTCTCTTAGAATACTCCTTGGAAATATCTTTGTTTGATTTTGTTTAATACATGGAACCAGGTAGCTGATCACGTAACAATCTGTAACCTGTAACCTAGCAACCTGCAGAAATCTGAACCTGTAGTAAAAATTTAGGCACAACAAACAGTTATTGGAAAAAGCAAACGGGGTGAATATTTTGAAACTAAAATTTGTCCATAAGAGACTATCAAAAGGGGGCAGAGGGAGTAGGAATAATGCACTATCCAACGAACAGTAAATGGATATTATTTGTGTTGTAAAAAAAAAAAAGGATATTATTTGTACATATACTCCATAGTTGGTTTGACTACAATTATAAAAAAAAATGCTGACAATTACAGTAAGCTTGTAAGGTTGAATTTTTTACTGTCCAATACCTTTGGGCTACCATTGAAAAAGTTGGGGTGGCATTCTTGTTGATCAAATAAGGAGTTCGAGAGATTTGAGTTGATGTGTAAAGTTTGACGTGGGTTAGGCCACGTAGGTTCCTGTGTTGTGTTAGGGTGTATTGTCTTATGAGGAACTAGAAATGGAGGAAAGACTAATGCATAACTGTAACACCCCAATAATTCTCTCTTAAAACCTGTGAGAAACCTGTATATAACCTGAACAATTTCAAGAGAATTACTGGCGTGCTACCGCCATGTGTTCAAACGTTAAGGCTATCTCAGAAATTAGCAGCGGAAAACTAAAACAGTTATGAATAAACTTCAAAACAAAAGGATTAAATCAAAATAAGTGTTACAAGTTGGAACCATTAAGGCCCTTATTCAAAACCCAATAAAAGTAGTAAGTGATTAAATCCAGTGTTCGAATAAATTCAAACCCAAAAGAATTAGTGTCAAATAAAATCGAATTAAAATAAATTCAAACTTGCAAAAGAAATAAAATGCAAACAACCAACTCTCTACTCAAGATCCCACAACCCTGTGAATGCTGCATGTGTAAGAACCTGTGGTTATTCTGCTCCCCAATATTACAAGTGTAAAAATTGGATCGTCACAGGGTCATTGAAAGGCGAAGGCCATGACCAAAGAAAGACACACACAAAAGCACGCAGTCAGCAAAGCTGAGTACATACAAGCTGCGAAATAAATTAAGAAAATACCTAACATGCTACTAATAATCAAGCACAAGCATCATTAAGTCCAGACTCAACTCATGACTCAATTATCAAATTTATTAAGACCTCACTAATTGATATTAACTGATTCATTTATTTATTTCATTGGATTTAGCAATAGACAAGGTTGTCCAACCCATGTCCCATTTGGAACATCAATAAAAGAAAAACCCCATGCCTCCTTTCGGAAACATCAATAAACATCCAATGACCACGGGCGCGACTCCGTGACTGTAGTTAGTATGATATCTCACCTAACTCCTAGTTTTAGAAAAATAATATTTGAAATAGGAGACTCGTAGATTAGACGGCCTCGATAATAGTACACGGCTAATACCCCATGTACCCCAACCCCTGATTGTCAATACTCTAGATGTGCACCATTCCTGAGTTTTATTGCTCATCCATCTTGCACTTTACGTGATTTGCAGGTTTAGACTTGGTGACGACTCATATACATTACAATACAAACATTCCAAACACAATTTAATCAAACATGGTAAATTCTCAATTTAAATTCTTGATTTATTAGTGACAGACAACATTTATTAATTATTCCTTTACTACCTCGGTGTATAAACACCCTTGAGTGCATAAGGCACCCCAAAACCTTAACCTCGTCTTACAAGACTTGAATTTCTCCTTTACTCATCCTGTTTGCATAATCATGAATGAGTAATAATTTAATATTTACACCAATCACATACCTTTGCCTTTAAGCGCACCTTGCATAATTAGAGCACAAATAATACTTGCATTATAAACTAGTGCACATCATTTGAAATTCACAATGTATAACCAGACAATTTAACCCAGTCAATCCTATACATGATACTAAGTTCTCGATCCGTCCTTAAACATGCACCTACAAGCAAGGTTTCGTAACTTGTACGTACCTTGTGTAAACAATCCGGTTGGCCACTTTAAAACTAGAAGTCGCCTTCTACAAAGTCCTCTCCTAAACCAAACAATTAGAAATAAATCAATACCAAAGCAAATAAATTTACAGCAATACTAAATTACTTTAAAACCTCTTAAATCATCAAAATAAAGCCTTTAAATTGTCCCAAATAATCAAAGTTAATAATATAACATCCCACTTTAAGTTTATATGTTAGAATTATGAAAACATAGTGTTTTATATCAAATTACAGCAACTTTAAAGTAAGTAAATAAATCTGAAAATTTGTTTTAAGTATATAAAATAACCCCATAAGCATAATTACTTGAAATAATCATTATATAACAAGTTAGTGTGTTAAAAACCTAAAAATATACCAATTCAATGCAATTAGAGGCTTCAAAATAAAAGTATAAAATCTGAAAATTTATTCTTGAGATTAAAATTTAAAGTTCAAAGCTTTTTAATCATAAAATACCCACAATGATTATTTTATAAGACTAGAAGCATAAAAATATGAAATTAACACAACTTGTTCATAAAAATTGAAATTTAAATAAATCTGAAAATTTATATATGATAAAAATAATTATACTTTAACGTAATTTAAACATAGTATGATTAGATAACTTGATTAACACGTTTTTAAGCCCTAAAACATGAAAAATCAATGTTTAAACCCTTATTTTCTTAATTAAACAAATCTGAAATTTTCTATAATAAATTAAACATGTCAAAACTCATAAATTCATAATCTTTTACAACCCAAGTATAATATCAAACCATAATAACAATCATTTAGAATAAAAATTAAACAAAGATTACAACTTTAAATCAATTTAATAAAATAAAAAAAGTAAAGAAAAGGGAAGAAGAAGGGGCGAACTGCAGGGGGAGGCGCAACTGGCCGACGGTGGTGGCCGAAGGTGCGGCTGGTGGTGGTGGCTGTGCGGCAGGGAGGCGGCAGCAGGGCTGAAATTTTTTTTTTTTTTTTTGTTTTTTGTGTTGCTGTTTGTGAATGCAGGGAGAAGAAGGAGAGTGAAAGATTTCTTTTTTTTTTTTTTTTACGTGAGAGAGAGGAAAAGTGTGAGGGTTTTTGATGGTTTTATTTGGGCCTTGGGTTTCCTAATTAGATTAGGAGTAAAATTTGAGGTTTTGGGCTATTAAGTTAAAATTGTTTATAAATTAGTCAAAAACATATTAGTTTACTTAAATCTTTTCATAAAAATAATTTATTCAATGAAATTGACATAAAAATATTTGTAAGAATAATATATAAATAAATTATAATTAAGTTGAAAATATGGGGGAATACAATAACATTGATTAAAATATTATAAAAACACATGGTAGAGAGAGAAAAGAGGAGAGAGAGGCATGTAGGTGGACCACACCTATTTTTTGGTTGGATTGTATCACGTGATGGGGGACCACATGCTGATTGTTCCACTGAAAGTTTATATAGTACCATTGAATCCTCAGTGGTACGATTTACGCATAAATTTAGTACAACTGAATTCATATATAATACCATTATGTGCACATATAGTATCACTGTATATTCAATGGTACCATTTGATCATCCAATGATATCAGAATATTTATTCGTTTGTACATATGCATAATTACATGAATACCCTTTGTTATGCATTTCTAAATGCCTAACATTCCTCCCTTTAAAATTCGTCATTGTCTTATGTTTAAGTGGGTCGTGTCTGTAACGAGTAAATAACAAAAGTCGTGTCATGTTAGACATGTATCGATCTTGTAGATATATATACACAACTCATACTAATTAGTGGTTCGTACACCCGGGTGTACCATGCGCATGGTACACCCGGATTAAAACATAATGACATATTATATAATTAAATAGAACATTATGAATTTATAAAAGAACATATCACT